CCCCCGCGGCCGCCCTCGGAGCCCACCCGGGCGCCCCCGCGCTTCCCGTCCCCTCGGCGCCCGAGCCCGGAGCGGCGGCGCGAGCCGGGCGCGGGGCCCCGGAAGGCGACGGCGGAGAAGGAGGGAACCTCCCGCTTACCGGGTCGTGTGACTCTCGGGGACGCAGCCCACCGCGGAGGCTGCCGCGGCCGCCGGACCCTCCCCCCGCCCGCCCCCACCACGTAGCCCTCTCTACCTTCAGTCGGGAATCAATGGCCTGGTCGCGGGCTGGTGACATCATTGGCGCGCCGCGCGTGGGAGGGGGGCACCACGTGGTTCCTCCCTCTTTTGTTTGCGTCCCGGCTCCGCCAGGGTCTTGTCGCTGGGTCTTCCTTGGGTTTGGGTGGACGTGGGATGGACGTCGTGGTGGGCGCGGTGGGGCGTGGGTCCTTGGCGGGCGGCGGCAGTTGTGCGCGTGGCCTCGGCCGTTTGTAACGCGGTTGGGCCAGAAGGCCTGAGGCAGTAAGTGGGTACCATCTTTAAAAAAAAAAAAAAGGACCTTAAGTACGTACAATTAGTTAATAATGCACTATTAATAGTAGTCCTTGGAGGCCCGTTTAGATTACATTATTTTTTAAATGATGTCATGAACACCCCCTTTAACGCTGCGCTGCACCTCCCCAACCCAAGAACTAAAATATCACCGATAATTTTCATCTACTTCCACGTGCTCGCCATCCTTGAGCCCTGTCTCCCCCTCAGAAGTAACCTGCATCATGCTTTGTGTTTACACAGCTCTTACATTGCTTTAACTTCTTTTCACATTTCTGTGCATTATTGAGCAATAGATTTTTTTTTTTTTTGTAAGAACACCAATTCCATTCCTGGGGGCTCCAACACTCGTGATGTAAGCAGCTCCCAATGGCCCCACCTCCTAACACCATCACGTCGGTCCAACATATGAATTCTGAGGCGACACAAACATTCAGACCATAACACCAAGATTCGCCTTCTTGTCGAGTGAAGTTGCATTTCATTCATTTTCTCTGCCACGTAATCCGGTATGTGCGTGTATCATAATTTATCCATTCTCCAGCTGCTGACATTTACGCAATTTCTAGTTTTTTGCTGTTTCCTACAGTGCTGCTATCAGCATTTCCTTTTGGTGCTTCTGCACAAAAATTTCTCTTGGGTGTATTTACCTAGGCATGGAATTGATGGGTCTTGGGAATGTCAGTGTTCAATTTTATGTGATAGTGTCAAATCTTTATTCGAAGTGGTTACTCCAGGTTACACTCCTACCCGCATCCATATCTTCTCTAACACTTCAGACGCCTTGATTTTGGGCAGTGAAATGGAAGTTACATGGGAGTTTAAAAGGCCTTATTGGCATATCCTTGAGGTTAAGCATCTCATATCTTTATTTATTGGCCATCTATATAGTTCCTTTTCTGTGACAGGTCCGTCTTCAGGGTTCGAGGACTTGGAAGGCAGGTCAAGAAAAAACGATGTGGCCATGAAGTGGCAGTAGGACACACAGGCTTTATTTGGGTGAGTTTCGACAGATTTGCATGCAGGAGAAGTCCCTCACAGAACCTGACAATTCTGAGACTATAGGGGGAGGGGAGCAGGAACAAATTCAGAAACAGAGGAGGGCAAGGAGATCCCAGATGTTGGAGTGGCATTGCTAAGCCGCCCAGCAGGAAGTCTCTGGGTTAGCAAGATCCGAAAGCAGTGGCAGCTTGGGGTCTTGACAACCGCAAGGTTTATCTTATCTATGACTAGCAGGTGTTCAGCATGCAAAGCGGACAGGCAGCTCTCAATGGCTAAAATTCTACTTATTTAGGGCTATGTTTAAAACAACTGGATGTGTACAAATTTTGAGTTTGGTACTGGCAGGCTTTTGACCTTACAGGTCCCAGCCTGCTGTGAAGTAACAACCAACCTAGAGGCCAACATATAGAGGCTGTGCCTGTCTCATTTTTATCATAGTTCATCTCTTTTGCCCATTTTTTTTTTTACTGGCTTGTCTGTCAAATTATTAATATACTATGAACTTTAATTCTTTGTCAGTTGTATAGGTTGCAGATTTTTTCTCTCATGTAGCTTGTCTTTTCACTTTCTATTTTGATAAATAGATGTTTTTAACTTTGATTTTATATGTATTCTGTTTTTTTCTTCCTACCCTATGTACACACGTATATATTAACGTTTACTGCTAAAAATATTTAGTTCTGCTTTTGACATTTAAATCCTTATTCTTGATTATTTAGTAGAGCAAATCTTCCTTATTTTTCTTCTTCATCTTCCATCTTGGCTGTTCTTGGTCCTTTGTTTTTCTATACATTTTTATTTTATTTTTTTTAAAGTGTTTTCTTTGTATGTTTAGAACAAGTTTCTCAAGTTGTACACACACACACACACACCCCACACACCCTGTTGAGATTTTAATTTGCATTGCATTGAATATATAGTAATAGATCAATTTGGAGAGAATCAACATCTTTATGATTTTGAGTCTTCTGATTCATGAACAAGGGATAGCTCTCTATTTATTAGATCCTTAATGTTTTTCAGTAAAGGTTTATTTTCTGTGCCTGGATCTTGCACATCTTTCATTGCATTTATTTCTAGATAGTTTGTAGTTACTGTTGCTATTTAAATTATATTCTTTAAAGTTATACTTTGTTTATTGCTGGTGTAGAAATAAACAGGACTTTTGTATATTGATA